CTGTCAGGATCATTCTCTGGAGGTCAATCTTCATGCCTTGGCCAAGTAAGAAATCCACGCCGATGATGACTTCATCCTTAATGTCTGCCACTATAAACTTAGTGTACAAGGCCCAACCGTCGATTATTACCTCGCATGGTACTTCTCCTAACACTTGGGTGCATTCACCAGTTGCAGTCTGAAGCTTTGCTCCAGGTAGTGGCTTCACATAAAAAGTGGCCAAATCCGATCGAATAATGGAATGTGTCGCTCCAGTATCCACTGTCAGTACTCTCTCCTGCCCATTCACACATCCACCAATAGTGAGGTTGCTCGCATTCCGGCCAATTTGTGAGACGGAGATTATGGGCCCTTCAAATTCTGGTGCCAGCACGCGGCCCTCCCTGCTGGCTCGTTTCAGTTTAACGATTGATTGGAGTTGGCTTCGTCTCCTTCAGCCCAGCGTTTGCGTCCTGCTGAATTGTTAAGCCCACTGGAACTTGCGCTGCAATCGCGGGCGAAGTGGCCTGGCTTTCCACAATTAAAACATTTGCCAGAGCCATGCTTTTTCTCGCCCAGCAGTTGGATAATCTTCTTCAGCATTTCATTTGTCTCGTCCGGTGTTTCCACTTCCACGCGATGTGCTTTGTAGGCTGGTCTACTTAGGAGCGCCGCCATTTCACGCGTCTGAGCATACGAGACAGTTTCAGGAAATGTTGGCTTTGGATTCGCGTACTTCTCTCGCTTGGTATACACGTCCCGCATTCCGTTGATGAACCTCTGGATTTTTACTCTTTCGAGGTGTTCACCAGATGCATCTCCTATTGCCAAATGAGCCAACCTTTCGATCTCGGAGGCGAATTCCTGTAGAGTCTCGTTGGATTTCTGGCAGCGATTCTCCAGCTCCATCTGGTAAATCTGTCTCCTGTGCTCGCTACCATAACGTCTTTCCACTGCACCCATTAAGGCATCGTAATTGTTCCTTTAACAGTCGGGAATAGTCTGCAATATTTCCGCTGCAGGTCCTTTTAATGCCACGAACAGAGCAGCGGATTTATCGTCCATGCTCCAGTTGTTTGCTGTAGCCGTCTTTTCGAACTGGAGCTTAAAGACTTGGAAAGGAATCGTGCCGTTAAAGGATGGAGTCTTTACCTTGGGCGCGCTGGTCGAAGAAGGTGAACGATTCAACTGGATATCTCAGATGCGACCTTCCAACTCTTCTACCTTAGCCTCGACTTTATCCTGTCTATCCTTGATTTGTTTAAAGTTGTGTAATCTTTGCATCCTGGACTTCCAGCAACTGTGATACGTGTGTCTTCTGTGCCTGTAGCTGCGACGAAATATCTGACAACTGTGTTTGCATCTGAGATGACAGCTGTGATGACATCTGTGACATGGCAGCCAATAACGTGTTCATGTCCATAGCTGTTGATGAACTTGGAGACTTTTGCTGTTCTTCAACCTTCTCGGATGTCTGCTGCACATCCTTCGACGAACAAGCAGCCTCATCCTTCTGTTCGTCCTTTGCGGATGCATCGTCGGATTTACCCTGGAAGTCGTATTTGTCCACGTCGATGCCTTCAGCTTCCATAGCCTCCCGCAAACGGGATTATAATTCCACTTTTCTTCCGGAGGTGGCCAAATAACGCTTTTCCAACTCCTGTTTCAGCTCCTCAATCTTTAAGTCCTGAATTTTCGCCATTTTCAGTAGTTTATCCTTCGGGATTTACTTAACAATCCCACTTCTGACCCCAATTGTTACGATTATCCTTGCAACCTTGAGGGATTTCCCAAATATCTTGCGGCTCGTATCTCTGGATTGTTAAATAAATGCTAACGATGACCAAATAGTAGTACAATTAACTTTATTGTACAACAAACTATTAACAATATTCGCTAATGCAGTAGAAACGCTTTACTAAACTTGTTAACACAATTAAACTTATAGCTTGCTTATTTACAACTCACTTCTCTGCTCACTTTACTTGTAGCTTGCTGACTTGTAACTGTCCCACTTCGCTGTGGCGGCGCCCTTATATACCTGCGCTCGTACTTATGACAGCTCTAGAACGTTCTGAAGTTTATCGCTCATTCTCTTTCTCTCGCTGTTCGCAGTGTTCATCCAACTAGACGTTTCTCTTTGTGGAACATTCTACGTCATTCCTACAACATTCTGCCTTTTTCTCGTTGTTCGCTTTGTGTTGCCGCAGTATTCACCACAATATGCAACCAAAGGCAGACGCGTGGTTTTGAAGGTGTTTTTATTTAATAAATTGTGATTGATAGGTTAAAATTAAAGTAATAAAGAAAGTTGTAACAAGTCGAATAAAGTTTAAAGTGAAGGGGAATATAAAAATGCATTGGTGAAGTGGCTGCTTTAAGGAAAATAGGAGTGATAAATGTACGCTAATTTCCGAATTTTACAAAAAAAGGCATATTTCAAATAAATTAGTGACCAAAAATTACAATAGTGGATGTTAAAATAATGGGTAGACCCTTGGCTACTAGTGTGTGCAATTTTTTTTTGGATCGGGTGACCCCTTTGGACGCAATACCCCGAAATAGGTGGGCCACTTACTAAACAGTACCCTAATAAAATTTTATAAAAAATTTAAGTAAAATATAAATATATATATGATTGTAAGTCATCATAAATGAATTTTCTCGATTTCTGTGTTTTCGCGAGCGGTAATACGGGCAATACGAAAAATTGGCTCAAATAATGGCAGCCAAAAGGGGTATTGCGCGATGTTTTCAAAGTGGAAGTCCAGGCGTTTTTGTTTACATTATCTATAAATAAGACTGTGAAATGCACTGAATAAAATTTATTCTTTTTATATAAAATTAATAGATGTATGCACATAGATACATACTCAACTTCTGCGCAATTCCATTTAAAGGGCCTAACAAGACATCCGATCGCCGCGCAAATACTTTCCCTCCTTTACTCTCATCGTTCGGGTCAAGTGTGAGTAAGCATAAACCAGTTTCTGCAAGCGTACGTAAACTACCGATCAATAGCAAGACGCGTAAGGCCCGTTTACATAGAACTTTGGCGTTGCGTTGGCGTTGGCGTCGCTTCAACAGCTGACTATGAATACATGAATTCAAATGCAGCCGTCCACATAGCCAAAATTCGACAACGCTCACGCCAACACAAAGCAAAAAGATGGCCAACTCTCAACTTTTCGCGTGCGTCGCTCGTCAGCTGTTGCGAATAAATAAAATTATGTGAAATATTTTTCCTTTTTAATCAAGTGCGGGCAAGAAATATCGTTTTTAATGCAATTATTGATATGAAATATTAATTTATCTGTCGTTAATATGTTAATTTAGTGGCCCAAGGATTCGCCGCCAAGCGTTCATTGTAGCAAGCATACTTTTAACGTGCGTTCTGTCAAACCAACGCCAACGCCAACGCAACGCCAAAGTTGTATGTAAACGGGCCTGTAGAGTATTTACTTTGCCTTCCGCAACTACTGCAAGTAAAAGCATGAACGAAAGATAAAAGATCACGCGTGAAGGAAAGATAGAAAAAAGTTATTTTCTAGCTGCCGAAATCTCGACGCCATCTTTGTTGTAAGAAGTAAACAACGAAGAGAACGGAGAAAACCGCGAAATTGTTGAACGCATGAATAATCATTTTTATTATGCATATTCTTCTATAAATCATGCCGTTGTGTTAAATTATTCTTTATCTTATGTGTACACACGTTGTCACAAGCGAAAATGAAAAAAATTGCAGTAAAAAGCCACCACCAAATTGTAAACAAAGAAGAAATGTAAACAAACGGCTAATGTCAAAATCGTTGAACTTTTTTCCTAAATGCAATTCTAACGGGCTACTCTCCTGCCCGCGTGATCTTGTATTTTTGGTTCATGGAGTAAAAGGTATTTGACAGTAGACTACTCTACTGGTAGTACTTGAGTATTTTCGAAGAAAACATACATTTGTGGCAAGAATGATAGAAGAATTTTCTGGATCGCGCATTTGTGGTAGAGTTGTCAAACTATCGATGGCACTATCGATAGTATCGATAGTTTCAATTTTTTTAGACTATCAATACTCATTGATAGTTTTTTCTTACAGTAGCTACAACCAACATGCTCGCTGTCGTTTGCTACAGACGGCGAGCGGCTCATAAGTGATTTTGTACTCAAAGCGTAAACATGGAAAGGAAAGACGCGGATGATGCAATTGAAATACTTATGACTAAGGGTTTTTTATGTATGTGTTACTTAAATTTATTTATATTTTACTTATATGTATGTACATACATACACATATAGTAATTTAGCCTCATTTATCAAAAATTCAATTAACGCACATGGCTTGGATGCATTTATCCGCGATGTGCACACTACAAGCATCAACACAAAGTGCGGTTGTTGTTTTTGTTTCCAATGCGATGCTCGCAAACCGCCCTATAAACGACGAGCATGACCCGCAAGCCGCGCATGTGCGCGGATATGCTCGTCGTGTATAGCTACTGTTATACCATCAAAAATATCGATAGTTTAGTAGGACTATCGATCATCTCTCCCAATTGTTTTGAAATTATACATACATATGTTAATCGTAAATCCCGTTTTGTTTGTATAACTTGTGTTTGTTTTTGAACTTTCTAAAAAGATAAGTATTTTGGCTAAGCAGTTACTTAATTTTGAATGATTATAACTTTTACAAGATAATATTTATTTCACTATGATTCTGTAAAAACAAAGCAACCTAACTGATTTAGCGCTATCGATAGTGCTATCGATAGTTTTGTTTTTTTCGAGACTATCGTGAATATTGATAGTTTTTCTGAAAACTATCAAAACTATCGATGGTGTGACTATCGATAGTTTGACACCTCTAATTTGTGGTATCTGAATAAAACTAAGGACAGGAATGTAGTGGAGCGATGAAGAGAGCGACGAGCAAAACGTACTTTCAACTAAAATGCTGATATACATACTAGAGCTGTCAAACTATCGACGATACAATCGATTGTAGTCTGGTCACATGAAATAACTATCGATAGTTTTAGTACTATCGCCACTATCGTTTAATTGATAGCGTATTCTCTTTCTTAGCGCTTTTGACATTCGCTCGTATTGGTTGAAACTTGGCAGCGTTATTTCTGAAAGCGCTATTTTTGATTTTAAGCGTGAAAATGGCTGAAGATACATTGCCGTCTAAAGAACCAAAAACTTCCGAAGTGTGGAATTTCTTTAAAAAAACAAGCGACACAAAATTTGAAAAATGTAACTATTGTGACAAAGAATACCGCACTAGTAGTAATACCACAAATTTAAAAGACCATATTTCTAGATGCTCCTCTATCGCTTGTTCAAGCAGCACTGCTTCATCAATCGTCAACCACTTGCAGCAGTGGTTCAGTGCAAAGGTTGGTTGGTCAAAGTTTGACGTGAATAAATAAAATATATGTAATTGAAGAACTCTTGTTTAGATTTGTTAGTGCATATTTCACTCTCGAATTTAAATATGATTCGAACTCCGGGCGCAAAAAAAAATTGATGCCGCACTGGGTGAGTTTGTGTGTGTAGATTTGCAACCAATATGCATAGTAAATGATGCGGGTTTCAAAAATCTTTTAAAAGTGTTGGAAGCAAAAATTATTTAAAAGACAAACTCATTTTAGAAAAATACGAATGTATTAAGGCGTGCTTAAAATTGAAATTGGAAAAAATTTAATATCTGGCCATAACGTGCGATATGTGGACATCCCGCTCAGGAGATGCATACGTACTGGTCATTATGTGGATGCAGAATTTGATCTGAAGACTATTGTTCTTTCAACAAGACTCTCAGTAAACGAAGAAAATCACACAGCAGAAAATATTGCAAAAACGCTTGATGAAGTATTCACTGAATGGTCCATCAGCAACAAAATCATTTGCCTAGTTACCGACAACGCCAGAAATATGATCAAAGAATGTGAAATTTTAAGAAAAAGGCACTTACCTTGTATAGCTCATTCCTTAAACTTGATTGTGCAAGATTGTTTGACACTAGACGAAGTAAAAGGAGTGATTACAAAATGCAAAGAAATTGTAACTTTTTCTAAAAGTAGCTCGTCTGCCATGGCGAAATTCAAAACTGATCAAAGTTCAAATAGGCCTCTTAAATTGATACAAGAGGTATGCACTAGATTGAACAGCTGTTTATCAATGATAAAAAGGGTGCTATTATTGAAGGATAATTTGAATAAATGCCTTTTAAATATACCAAAAGCACCCAAACCATTGGAAAGCGGTGATGCACGCCTTTTAAACGAGCTTGTTAATATTCTTGATCCTTTTGACGAAGCTACCTTGCATTTTTCTAGCAGTTAGAGCGTTACTTCTTCTTCAATAATTCCTATTATTTATGGTTTAATTGAAAAGTTAAAATTAATTGAACAACAAAGGCCTTTCAAGTGAAGAAATAGCTTTTTTGTCGGCAATTGTTTGTTCTACTAAAAAACGCCTTTTTTATACGAGGAAAGAACGTTAACTCGCGTATCAACGATCTTGGATCCAAGCAAGAATGATAGAATACAAGATTGCGCCGATCAGAGAGGATTTTTGAGAATAACTTTTGTGTGACGTCACACTGGTGCAATTGCGAGAGAGAAATGCCAAAACGTGAGCAAGAATGGAAGAAGAAGAAAAAATGTTGCAAGGAAAATGTAAACAAGTTGCACCAGTGTGACGTCATGCAAACAACGATTCTGTCAAATTCGTTAAGAGAGGAATAGCGGTCCGAGATCGGCGCAACCTTTGTATTCTCTCAATCGTGGGATCCAAGGTTCAAGAAAGAAGGTTTTAGAAGCGAATTAAATGCAAATGAGGCGAGCAAGGCTTTAGAAAGAGAAATGTTGTTGACTTCAGCACTAAAAGTTAAACCTTCTGCGACTGTTGGTCCCAGCTCAACGGAGATACAAGCAAAAACTTCTCTTTTAAATTTCCATTCTAGTAAGGTGGATCAAAAACAGAGTACAACAAAAGTCGATGTAATCCTGAAGAAGAGGCAGTACTTGGAGCAAGTCAACTCAGAGCCAAACACAAACCCGCTACTGTATTGGAAGGTAGATACTGGAAATCGTATAATACGATATACATATGTATTACACATATAATATATGTATATATTTTAAACCATTATTTTCACTTCAGGTGTTACGAAATCAGCTTGAATCAGATCTTCCTGATTTGGCAAAAAAGTTTTTTTATATCCCGGCATCATCTGTAGAGTCTGAAGGCACTTTCAGTAAAGCGGGCTTAATTGTTAGCGATAGGCGATCGAGTTTAAAGCCAAAAACAGTCGATGTGTTGGTATTCTTACAAAAAATTTCAACGATTTGTAAAATAAACAAATTTATAAAAGCAAGACAACGAAAAATAAATGGATTTGAAAAAATAACATAAAATGGGTCGATACTATCGATAGTATCGATGGTCACAATTAAGACTATCGTAAAACATCGAAGGTCTTGACTATCGATAGTTTGACAGCTCTAATGTATCCACTTAAATTTTATTTTTAAATTACAGTAGTTGCGTTCGACAAGTCAAAAATTTGTGATGGTTTTTTCAAATTTTTACTGGATGGCGTTCGATAACGGCAAAAAATTATCCAACACACAAAAATTGAGAGAGCAAGCGTTCATTTTGTTGCAAGAGGAGCGTTCATTTTGTACTGGCAAGATTTTACTCAACAAAAATTAGTTGCGTTCGATAACAAAATTAGCCAACACCAGCCAACAATCAAAATCAAGAGAGTAAGCGAAAATTCTCACCAAATGAGATGAAAAAGCAAAAAAGTAAACGAACAGGAAATTAGCCATTACTTGCAAAAACCGGAAGAAGAAGACACACCAGCTGACTTTGTTTATGTTTTATTTGTAAACAAACTGAAATTCATGTTGCCTCCATAGAAGAAAAAAGGAAAGTGAACGTTCAATATTCGCCAGGAACATTTCTAGAAGTAAAAACTAGTTGCAAAATTAAAACACGTTTTTCGCAGTAAAGTGAACTGCTTTGGCAATTTCAACTCGTTCTTCTTTTCGCTCTATTCTTTGTTTACTTGTGGTACACAAATGTCAACGCCCAGGACGGCGCAATCTTGTATTCTATCATTCTTGGAATAGGCACGTATCCTACGAATGTCATTCGCACGAATATCATCCTTCAAGCTCGCTTGTTATGACAGTGCGATCCGTATAAGATCCGTGCGAATGTCATCCGTCGGATACCGTAATAGCCAGGTATCTTCCAGTGTATTTTGTTGTAAACTTAATAGTGGTATTCATCTAAACCGATAATTTTATCAAGCTGCATGATTCAATAATAGAAAGGTTTTGTAATCAAACTGTCTTCTCGCTCCCACACATAAAATTGGCTCCTTTACTTGTGCAGAATGTTGTCCACTCTACAGTTTCTAGTTATATTAGTAGTAAAACCAAAAATTCTTCATACTAAATATTCGTTAACATCACCTTCGTTTGCGTAAATTTCTGGAACAAGTCTAGAATAGCGACCGTTTAGCTATAAAATAACCAAAAGTGCCGATTGATAGAACTTTTTACGCTGATTTCAACGAAACCAAATTTATTTGGCGCGGAAACCTTATAAATAAACTGTTAAAATTTGTATGGAAACTAGTTGGCACATTTCTGATAAATTTCTCCAGCGATTTCACTGAATAAACTTGATAAACTGAAGCCAATGCAACTCTGTCGCAACTCTAGCTATGTTTTCTTGGGCAATAATCGCGATCCGCATTAAAATTTTGCACGCAAATTCCACAACAATGATATTATCCTGATAGAGATCTGGTTCAATTATTATCCTTTCTGTTTGTTTTGTTTCACTGATAATTTGGCTGCAAAGTTTGGTAGCCGTGACAAATGAATTCATACACAAACGGACATTCCACCATTGTTTCTTCTAACTTGGTTCAAATTAATCGCCTTTATGTTATATGTATATTTATTTAAATAGATATTATCTCGTATATATAATTTTTTTCCGTTTAGTGAGTTATACTACAATTATACGCACGTATTATTTGCAAATAATAATTTGCAAAATGGTAAACCTTGCCGTATAGACGCTGAGCTAGTTTTTTATTTGCAAATAACTAAATCACGCAAATAAGTATTAATTAGTGGTACTATTTGCAAATAAGCGCAAGATGCCGCCATTCTTAGGTTTATTTTCTTTTTCAATGGTCATCTTAGTGCCTTTTTATAATCAAGACTGCCATTTTTAACTTTATATTCTTTTTTTATGGTCATATTATTGCCTTTTTATAATCAGGCAATATTAAAAAAGAATTTTTCACCATCGAATAAACAGTGAGTTAGGTTATTTTTATTATTATTTTTATTTGCAAATAGCTTACGTATAAACGTAGTATTAGTTTCTATAATTTCTTATCCTCGTGCTAGTAGTAGGTGCAATCCCGTATTCCTCGGACTCGGACTAGTAAAACTGTCAAAAAATAAAAATTCACTCAGAGCGAGAGAGTAACATTGAAAAGTACGGGATCGCTTTCTAGTAAAAAATGGTAACTTCTGTCAACTTCAACATAACCTCCAAATTTTGGATGTAAACTTTTGCTTATTTTGTATGTAAACACACTCAGCTCACACATCTAAATAACCAAAAACACTTTCAAAGTCATTAGAATCCACTTAAACAAGTAATTAAATACTTTTCAACATGAATTAGCAGAGTGCACTTTTCTTTTGTTTACAATTTGGTTGCCAAATATACTACAGCTGATCGTTTGACACATTTACCAGAATTAGGGCCGGTTGTTCAATGTCTGATTAGCACAAATCGGAGGTAGAAGCTCCGATTAAGTACAACGACTGCTTTATCGATTACATGTCACATGCATGATGTCGAAATCGTCGATAGTGTAGTGGTATTGATAACTAGACATTGAACAACCGGCCCTTAACCAACAAAAAATTCTCCGACTAAAACTGCAGTTACCATGGTAGCTTCTGACAGAGAGAGAACCGTATTTACTCTCTTTTTTGTCCTCTCAATAGTCAGAGAACCGAGTACGGGATCGATTTCCAGTAAAATCTGACTGATTTTGACTATTTCTGACTAGTCCGGACTCGTACGGGATCGCAACTAGTATAAAGTTAGTGATACTGAGCTCGATAACCCAAGAAAACACGACTATTGTCGCAAGTATAAACGAAAAGAGTGTGTGGGTCGTTCATGTAACAGAGTGCGTAAACTTATAAGATTATCTGCTTGATAAAGTTATCGGTTTAGATGAATACCACTACCCTACAAGATTTGTCCCAATTTGCCAAACGGCGTCGTTTCCGACTCGTTTTGGTGAACAATTTGTTCGCCAGCGACGGTCGCAAACGACTCGCCGGCAAACTCGCCGTCGGATGAAAAGCACACTTCGCCGGCGGGCCGCAAAAACGTCTCGCCGGCGAGTCGCAAAAATGGCTCGCCGGCGGGTCGCAAAAATGACTCCCGTAGCCCGCAAGATCGACATACCAGCGAACTGCAAAACGAAGCTCAAAGTTGCTAGAAAATTAAAAACAATTTTTATACCCGAGCGCACTTGTGCACAAGGGTATTATAACTTTGTTCACATAACGGTTGTTTGTAACAGGCAAAACGAATCGAGATAGATATAGACAAATGTATACATAAATGATCAGAATGAAAAGAGAAATCGATTAAGCGGGGACTGTCTGTCCGTCCGTCCGTCCGTCTGTGCACACGATAACTCGAGTAAAAATTGAGATATCTTAACGAAACTTGGTACGTGGACTTCTTTTAGGCGTAGCACGGATGGTATTGAAAATGGGCGAAATCAGACAATAACCACGCCTAACTCTCATATAACGGTAATTTTCAGAAATACAAAAACTGCAATATTTTAGTAACTACTGAAGATAATTCACTCAAAATTGATATTTGCAATGCGTTTTAGACGAAAAATAAGAATATTAAAAAATTTTGGCAAATGGGCGTAGCCACGCCCACTTATAGTTACATGTGGCAACCGCTGCACCAATTTCGGACAATAACCGTGCCTACATCCCATATAACGGTAATTTAGAAAAATACGAAATCCTCGATAAATCAGTAAATATTAAAGCTAATTTATTCAAAATTGATGGTTGCAACAATTATTTACCAAGAAATACGTTTATGAAAAAAATTTGGAAAATGGGCGTGGCACCGCCCACTTATGATCACATATATGTATCTCAGTAACCGTTCCACCAATTTGTACCAAACTCGGTACGGTTATTGTGCTTGCCACTTGTTGCCATTGTTGAAATCGGACTAAAATTACGGTCGCTTTTCATATAACGGTAAATTTCAGAAATGCTTGAAATTTCGATATTTCGAAATTTAAGGACGCTAATTTACTTAAAATTTATACCCCGGCTTATCATGTATCGGTAGCTTTCGAAAAGGTGGAAAACATATATTTAATACTTGCGCCGGGTATTTAATGTTCGGCTCCGCCCGAACTTAGACTTTCTTACTTGTTTTAGTTTAAAATAGTTTAATTTAATTCATTGATTTTTTTTTCAAAGTTTTTTAAATATACATAAATCTTAAATATTAATTAAAAAGAAAAATAAGGAAAACATTCAGTCATAAAATACAAACAAAAATTTTAATATATTTTAATATATTACTACACTCTGGGTCAAAAATATTGGCAAGTTTTAACAATTAATTTTTTTGTTACTTCATTTTAGTTATCCTTAAAATTAATTAAAATTGGGTTTGTTTTTTAACAAGGACCATGTAGTTCAAAATTACAGCCATGTGCAGTATACATACATACATATATATGTATATATAAAAAATTTCAACAAGCTTTCATACAAGTTTTAAGCTTTTTAATTTGCATTTAAGAAACACATAGGAAGCAGTTTTATAGTCCATAAAATTTTAGTATAATAGAACACAGGTTCGAAGTAACACAAAACTCACATTGATTTTTGGTGTTATTTTTTTTGCGGTACTGCACATTTTCATCCATATGAATTTGATGACAGAAAATGCATGCTTTGAGCCACTTCAACCTTGTATTCTATTATACATACCAAACTTCAATGGACTTTAAAACTGCTTCAGAATAAAAATCAAAAAATGTTTAAAAAAGCTTGTTAATTTTTTTTATATGTACATACATGCATATGTATATTGGGCAATTTTTGAATTTTGAACTATATGGTCATTGTTAAAAAATAAACCCAATTTTAATTAATTTTAAAGATAACTAAGATGTAGTAACAAATAAATAAATTGTTCAAACTTATCAATATGACAGATAGTATATTTATGCAGACGACTGTGAAACATTTCTTTTATTCCGCTTTGAGATCCTGTCTCCAGCATAATGGAAATATATTTTGGTTATTCGCTCCATTATTTCCACAGATTCGTTGAATTTTTGCTGGAACGCTTC